CTGCAGGACTGTGTCCCCCTGTGTCCTCTCACCTTGCTGCGCACAGTGGTAAAGACCACCTGCAGGACTGTGTCCCCCTGTGTCCTCTCACCTTGCTGCGCACAGTGGTAAAGACCACCTGCAGGACTGTGTCCCCCTGTGTCCTCTCACCTTGCTGCGCACAGTGGTAAAGACCACCTGCAGGACTGTGTCCCCCTGTGTCCTCTCACCTTGCTGCGCACAGGGGTGGAGAAGGTGACCTCCGCTCTCTCCCAGAAGAAGGCCCGTGACCCCTCTCTGACCCACAGCACCTGGTCGCTGCTTGCACTGAGGATGCTTCTCAGCCTCACTGTCAGCTCTCCGGAGCCCTGCCCAGTGTTCTGGCTGTAGTGGTAAAAACGCACCTGTAGGGGGCAGCAGAGATCACCTCCTTGGAGCTTGGTTCGAATCACCATGTCCCAATAAGGAATGGGGTGCATGTGGCTTTTCCCACAGGATGTAGAGGGAGGACCTGCTGACGTACAGTGCAGTTTACGCTGGGCAGTAAAGTGGAAGAAACCATCTCTGACACGTCACTCCGTCCAGGAATCGCATAGTGGCCTGTAAAGAGAGTTTGTGATTCCTCACACCTGCAGGAAAAGGTTACATTTCTGACACTAAGGCTACGTTCACACTACAGGACAAATGTGGCCCAAATCCGATTTTTTTGCTCATATGTGACTCGGATCACATTTTTTCATGAGAGTGTGAACAGCACAAGTCACATGGAATCCGATTTTTTCAATTCCGATTTGGGCCACTTCAGTATTTGGTCATAAATTGGATACAGGTATTTTTTGCAATGCGACCTCAGTCTGAACAGCGAAATCGGAATTCTTGCAACGTCACTCTCGTTCGACGTTCGTCACAATTCTGCGCAGGCGGAAGTCACCATATTTTTCCGTCAGAGTGCCAAACATGGAGGAGAGCACAGAAGTTGGCCAGTGGAGGGACAGGGAGGGGCTGGATTATATTTTGAGCAGACGCGCCGGTGCCTCCATGCTGGAGATTGACTTCCTGCATCAATAAAGTCATAGTTCGAATTACGAGGGGTACTGTACCCCCCGATCAAGACCCAGACCCCCCCAAAGAGACAAAAATAGCAGTTTGGGGGGTCTTTTCTTCATTTTTCTTTTGTTGTATAAAAAGAATAGATAGCCTCACCTTGTAGGAAAATTTTATGTAAAACGATTTCAGACACCCCTAATGTGGACCGTACCATTTTAACCACCTCGGCGCTAGAAGCAGTCAGTCGGTTGCGTCATTCATTCTCATTGAGACCTGTTCATTGTGTTCGTCTGTCATGGTACTGTTTGTCGTGCATTGGTAAATGTAAGTAGGCAGCAGAAGTCTAGCCTGTTGAAAATGTGTTATTTTACAACCTTCATTTATTAGTTTAAGTGTTTCATCTACTAATGCAAGCTGACGTCCTTATAAGTTGAATTACTTACCATTGTCCTTCTGAGGCCGGTGTTCTGTCGAGTTGAGCTACTTTGTTGAGGTAAGCTACTGTAGTGCTAATCGATAGCCCTAACCATAGCTTACCTCGACAAAGTAGCTCTACTCGACAGAACACCGGTACAGTCAACGTTAGTTACGTTAACTAGCAAGATAAGCTAAGTTCTCTATTTAAACCAGGCTTATTTGGTGAGGTAAAATCGATCATGTAAATGAAAATCGGTCATTTTCCAAGGAGATGACCTCCCTATGCTTTCATTCTCACTCTCACGAATAAATTGTGCCTTTCTGAAATTAATTCACCACTTAGCCTGTGTGGTTTATTAGGCTAATGTTAACGCATAAGAAGGTCTAACGTTATGGTCTGAAAAAACATTACTATAAGTGAAACCCATAGGGGCAATGTAAAAAAAAAATAGCTAGCAAATAATAAGCCTTATTATTTTAATTTTAATTGTATTGATTCTGCATTCCACAATTTTATATTTATAGACATTTTTTTGAAGCTTCATCTAATAGCCCATATACTGTTTTGTTAAATATAGATAAGATTTTATTCACAGACACACTATGAGGAAAAGGAAAGATGGAGACATCAGACACTTTTTTGGTGGTAAAAGAAGTAGGAAGATAGTAGTGTTAAGAGCTACAGAACATTACACCAAAAGTATAGGTGCAGTTTTGAAAACTGTTAATGTGTATGAAGGAAAGTGGTGGTCAGCAGTAGGCAGGAGGTGAGTTCGAAATTAGGCTGTACCTTAAGATCTACTGTATCATCAGGACAGATATTAGCCTAATAGGCAGATATTTATTTCTGAAGGCTGTTCTGTTTGCCTGGTGATTGGAGGGAGCGTTGGCACCAGCTTGCCATCTTCCCCCTGCTCCCCGTTTGTGTCTCAAAATTTACTGTATTTGACTCTCCCTGCCGGCCCCTGGAGGATGGGCTCCCCCTTTGAGTCTGGTCCCTCCCAAGGTTTCTTCCTTCTAGGGAGTTTTTCCTTGCCACTGTCGCCTATGGCTTACTCACTGGGGGCTTTGGGTGGGGATGCTGTAAAGCGCCTTGAGACGATGTAATGTTGTGATAATGCGCTATACAAAAATAAATTATTTGTTGTTGTTGGAGCTGGGGGGACTGAGAATGCAGAAATAACACCAGACTGCTGGACCAGACCAGGCTGTTTGTAAATGTATAGGCTTATTACTTTTACTAGTATAGTTCTTCTAGGATAATTCCTGGGAGTTATCGAAACCAAGTTCTTTTGGATAGGGATAAGGATAATGATATCTTCTGTATTGATTCTCATTGTGTCGCATGTCCAGACCATGACCGTGTGTTGCATACATGTTAGTAAACACCCCTCGCGCATCTTGCACTCTTAACATTGATCCTGGTGGCTATTCGTATTGACGCGGTAGCGGACCATAATGGTCATAGAAGTATTATGAAGGCAGTACCCCCCAATTATGGAGGGGTAATTCGCACTCTGAATAAAGTGATGCCTTTGTTTTTGCGCATGCACATCATTGTGTCTTTGTTGTTTTGTGTGCACGCGAGCCAGTTCAGTATAGTGAACTGTTCACATTGAAATCTGATATTGCCCACATTAAAAATAGTAATGTGAACAGGCAAACAAAAAATTCGATCTGAGCAGAAAATCAGAATTGAGCATTAAGGCCTGCAGTGTGAACAGGCAGCACTTGACTTACCTAAAACTGACTTTGGTAAATCAGGGCTTACGGTACATTCACAGCATTTAGGAGACACTCTTATCCAGAGCGACTTTCATTTTTCCAAAATTCAGGGACAGTCCCCCTGGGGCAAGTTGGGGTTAAGGGTCTTGCTCAGGGACCCAATGATGGTAGTGCCAGAGGTGGGACTCAAACCAATAATCCCTTGGTCCAGAGGCAAGCGTCCTGACCACCAACACCCCACCCCAATACACATAAAGAGTACGAGTAAAGACTCCAAGGTTGAGCTTACAGAAGCATTAATGCAAAAAGGTGACATAAGTGTTCTTTAGTACGTACTACTAGTAAATTTTAGCTTATGTGTTTTTTGGCCTGAATGATAAGATAAGGTAAAGCGAACATGTTAGATTTGACTTACACAAGGGTTTTTAGAACAGATTACTTATGTTATTCAAAAATTGCCTGTATTTTAATAATATACAGTAGATGGAGGAACCATATAAAAATGTGTGTAAGCACAGATACGTGCTTCTGATCTCAGCAGCTTTCTTGAAGGAACAGTCCTTCAACAGCTCTTACCCGCTGCCGAGTTTCGGGTGTGGTCCACAGGGGGGGCAGAGGTGAGGGGGGTCCAGCTAGGCGGGGCTCTCTGCCTCACCCACTCGGCCCCGGGGGCCCCCATGCTGCTGGGCTCCCAGGCACACAGGCCGTGCTCGAAGCTGCACCTCCCCAGGTAACCCTGTAGCTCTGCGTGGAGGTCGCGCCATTAGAGGAGGGCTTCACAGAGCTGGTCTCCATGAAGGTGCTGCCTAATTCTGCCATTACTTCAGGAAATGTTAGCATTTTGCATTGAAAAAGGCCCCTCTCCACACACACACACACACACACACACACACACACACACAGATTAGTAAATATATCTTTGTGGGGACTCTCAGTTAATTTCTATAGGGAAAACTCTAATCCCAACATGAACCCAGCCCTAACCTTAACCATAAGTAACCAAACAAAATACAAGACTTGGAATTGTTATAAAATTGAATTTCTCTTGTGGGGACTGAAAAAATGGTCCATATAATGTCAAAATATTTTTTTTTTAAATCAAAATGTCCCCACAATGTAATGTATACTTGGACCCCCCAGCCCTCCCCCCCCCAACACACACACGCACGCACACGCACATGTAGGGTAAACATATCCTTATGGGGACCGCTCATTCATTTCAATGGGAAAAATGCTAAC